AGGGATCATTTTTATAGTTCGTTTCTTACGAGGTGAAATTTACATACATTGAAATGCACAAGTCTCCGCTTCCCATTCTGACAGGGATGCAGCCGGGGAACCCACACTCCTATCACAATAGAGAACGTCTCCTTTGCGCCTCCCCGCCCCCCAGACACCCTCTGTCCTGGTTTTTTCACCTTAGGGGAGTCTGCCTGCTCCAGAACGTTCTATAAGTGGAACCGTGTCGTACGCATGCTGTGTCTGGCTTCTCTCCTGCAGCGTGACGTCTGTGAGATTCACCCATGTGGCTGCCTGCACTGGTAGCCTGTTCTCTCTCCTTGGGAGCAGCATGCGATGATGTGAACATACCGGAGTTTGTTTATTCATTCACCAGTGACGGACGGCTGGCTTCTTTCCATTTCGGGGCTCTTAGGAGTACAGCTGCTGCGAACATTTGAGCACATGTCTGGTGGACGCGTGTTCTCATTTCTCTTGGGTAAATACCTGGACGCGGAAGGACTGGGTCGTGCGGCAGGTGCACGTTGAACGTTTTGGAGATTTCCATCCGTCTCCCCGAGTGGCTGACCGTTCTGCGTTGCCACCGGCCGTGGGTGCAGGTTGCGGTTGCTCCGTGTCCCCCCAGGGTTTGGTGCAGGCAACCTCGGTCGTTGGATTCTGCTCTTTTTAAATGAGCTAATGTACGGGCGGAGTTTCTGGGAGATGTTCCCCTGGCTGATCAGCGGGGTGTTGCACGGTTGCTGGGAGGTCCAAGACACGATGTGCTCTATGCTGTTTCTTTGTCTTCCCAGAATTCCTTCCCCACCGATGATGAGGGAGGTTCCTGGGGGCGTTGGGGTCACAGAAGATGGGGCACTGCGGTTGTGAGGGGGGAGCTGGGCTGCCCGTGCCTCAGCTCTGCACTCCCCTGGAGCTCCGGGCCTGCTTGGAGCACGCAGGGGGCCGAGCGGCCTGGCCCCCCTTCCAGGCCTGGAAGCTGCTCCCTCACCACGTCCCGTTTTGCGGGGGGGTCTCTGAGGCCCAGACCTCGGCCCCTCTCACCACAGGGGGCACATCGTGGAACTGCTGCCCCTGGGAGTCCACGCCCACCTGGCCCCTCTCTCTCTCCCGCAGATGTTGGCCCTGTGACCCTCACGGAGGACCCAGCGGTGTTCCAGAGGGAGTTGAGAGAACTCTACGTGCAGGTGGGCTGTCCTGCCCCTGGCTGCTGGCTCTCTGGGCCTTTCTTCCCAGGCCCTGCCAGAGGCCAAGGTCTTCTCAGATGCCCGGGGGCCAATTGGGCTTCTGGCCAGGGCCAGTGCCTGCCTCCCAGCTCTGCCCGGGACCTGCACCGTGTGCCTGGGGGGGTCCTTCCTCTTATTCAGTGACCAGGTACCTGTAGGAGGAGGCCCTGTGCCTGGCACATAGTAGGGTGCTTATGATTTAGTGAATGGACAGAGGGGTGGCAGGAGGGTGTGGTAGCTGAGAGGATCCAAGAGGTTCCAGTTCAGACCCCAAACCCAGGCTCCAGACCGGGCCAGCTGCCCTGTGGCCACCTGAGCTTCTGTGCTGCACTGCACACCCTGGTTCGGCACCTGTCTCCGCCCCCCCCCGCCCCCCTGCCCAAGACCAGGAGCTTCCTGAAGGCAGGGACCCCAGGGCCCAGAACAGGGCCCGGACAGAGAGGGTGAAGGTGGGGTGAATGTGTGAGCCCAGGAGAGAGGTGTTTACTGCAAAGGAACCACATGCAGACCTGCTGCTGGGCTGGGCTGCAGACCCGGGAGGCACAGGGCCGGCTCCCTGCTCCAGAGAGCGCCCGGCTGGTGGCAGGGAGGGGAGGCAGGTGTGAGAGTGTGTGTGTGTGTGTGTGCGCGTGCATTTGGGATGCATTCAGGGCAGGGTACACAGAGGATTTAGGGAGGCAGTTTTGAGTGCTTTCCCAGCGCCCACCTCTCCTCCTCCTGGCCTCCCCTCTCCCCCTCAGTCCTCCAGGCCTTGGCTGACACGTGGCTTCTTTGGGGCCTCTGTTGGATGTCCCCGTGCTCCCTCCCTCCTCCCGCATTTGTAACACTCATCACGATGGTAATTAAATCATCGTGTTGTGCTTATTGATGTGGCGTCTGCCTCCCACACCAGAGCCCCTGGGAGGGCCCGTCACTCTTGCACGGCTGCGTGAATGAATGATGCTGAGCATCTAAAGTGAAAGCCAGTGGGTGCTGCGTTGTGTGTCAGGATGGGGACTGACCCGGCGCCTGGCCTGACCCCTGGCTGGGCAGGACAGAGGCAGCTCAAGGGATCCCCCCTCCTGCTGGTTTCGGAGGTGCTCCTAGTGGGTCCCCCTAGGGGAGGTGGGCAGCAGCTGCTGACACGCCCCGTCCTCCAGGGAGGCGGTGACTGCCCCGAGATGAGCGTGGGGGCCATCAAGGCCGCTGTGGAGGTCTCCTACCCCGGCTCCTTCATCTTCGTCTTCTCAGACGCCCGGGCCAAGGACTATCACAAAAAGGATGAGCTGCTGCGGCTCCTGCAGCTGAAACAGTCGCAGGTGAGCGAACCGCCCGGGGGCTTGCGTGTGGGGACTCCAGGGGAGCAGGGGTCTCCAGCATGGGCACCCCTGAGCCCCGACGACAGCAAAGTCGGGTTGCTTCTCATCCACCACCCGGGGTCCAGCCTCCGCCAGCCACGCCGGCCAACCCCCAGCCCCGAGCTGGTCTGGTGAACTCCAAGTGTGTGCTCATGCTCTGGGTCCCCGCCCGCCAGGGCCCGCGCCTCCCTGGGGAGGCCCGTCCTTGACAAAGCCCACACCGCTCTGGCCTTACACACCCTGTCAGTGTCCGCACCATCCATCTTCCTCCTGGCGTCGCCTCTGCGCCCGTCTGGGCCGTGGACGCGCGGCGCCCTTTTCCGTTGTCTCAGGACCTGGAAGCCGAGCGGGAGCCCTGGCTGTCTGAGGGGTGGGGGAGGGCTGTGGTGGGAATGCAGAGGGCTGCTGCTGGACATCCTGGGGCTGGGACAGCTGCTCTGTGGTCCCATCGAGGACAAGCTCGGTTCTTCTAACTCTGCAGCCTCCGGGGCCCCTCGGAGCAGAGTTGATCTCCATTCCCTTCCTTGTAAGCTGAATACCCGCTCCGGTTCACGGAGCACCTGCGTGTTCCCGGGCCTGCGCCGACCCCTTGGCCCGCGCCAGTCCTGACCCCCCCGCCCCCCCGGGGTGGGTGTTCTTCTCCCCATTTTACAGATGGGTCACCTGAGCCCAGAGAGGGGGAAGGGCTCGCCCCGTCCCTCCTCCCTGTTTCGTCCCTGCCACTCGCGGCCGAGGAAGGTGGCCGGGGCAGCCATGAGCCAGGCTGCGTGTCCCTCTTCCAGGTGGTCTTCGTGCTGACGGGGGACTGTGGTGACCGCACGCATCCCGGCTACCTGGCCTACGAGGAGGTCGCTGCCACCAGCTCTGGGCAGGTGTTCCACCTGGACAAGCAGCAGGTGACCGAGGTGAGCCTTCCCTGACGTCCTGTCTCCGGGCGTCCGGTCGCCATCACAGGTGAGCGGTGCTGAGTGCGGGGCTGGCCACGGTCCGGATTCACTCCGGTCGGCACCGACCACGTGTCTGCGTCCTTGTCTCGTTCTCGGACCTGTGCCTGCCCTTCCTGTCCCCCGGGCTCCATCGGCCACCCAGGGCTCCCCCCGCTTTCCCTCTGCCCCGCAAGGCCATTCCTTCCCAGGAGCCAGAGGGGTCCTTCCAGGACCTGCCGGGCAGTTTTCACAGGCAGGAGCAAGAACACTCCCTTCCGTGGTGTAAATCCTGCCTTGGCTCCCTTCGCGCTGCCCCGGGAACTCGCTGAGCAGAGCTGGAAAGGGACGCTCACGCCGACGTTCTTGAGGCCGTGAGCTGGCTCCAGCATCCCGCTGGATTCCTCTGAAACAGATCCCACACACAGGCCCTCCTGTTGTCCCCTGGGAAGGTGCAGACCTTGTCTGACCTCTGCCTCTCTGATCCCTTCATCTGGGTTCGCCCCTTTGCCCGCTGCCCCCGCCCTGCTGGCCTCTGCTGTTTCTGCAGGGTCCCTATCTTTCCTACCCCAGGGCCTTTGCTTATGCGCCTTGTTCTCTGCACTCTGCCTCCTGGCTCCTGCTCATCTTCCCAGTCTTAGCGGAAATACGCCTCCTCAGGGAGGCCTTCTGACTGCCCGTCAAGATTAAGTCTCCTTTCCTGCCCTCCCCGTGCGGCTCTGCATCACTGTAATTTTACAACCGTGAGCTCCCCGAGGCTGAGCCCGGGTGCTACTGTATCCCCAGCACCTCGTCCAGCCACCGGCGCAGAGCAGGTGCTTGGTAATGGCTGGGGAGTGGACAGACGGGGTCCCTTGTGCCTGAGGCCCTGGGAGGAGAAGGCAGCCCCACGTCTCCTGCTGGAGAGGGTTTCTTGTCTTGTATATTTATGTTCTGAAGGGAATGGGCCAGGCGTGTTTGGATTAGTGTCTTAACTCCCTGTTGGCAGATGGCGTTCATGGTTCTCTGCGACACATTAGGCTGTGATTTTTGGCTTGTCCGTCTATTCTGGCCCGGAGCCGGCCGAGTCAGGGTGGAAGGCATTTCACAGTGTGGGGATGGCTTGGTCCTGTCCTTGTTTTGGGGGGAGACCTGCTTGGGCAATTGCAGGGGAACTGGGTTCCTGCCAGGGCCACCGGCGGGTGGGCGAGGACGGCTTGCCCAGGTGTGGGGCTGGGACCCCCCCGTTCTCTCCCTTGAGGCGGGGAACCTGTATGAATCCACCCGCTCGTGGCCACGGTGCCAGATTTCCTGCTCGGGAGCCTGGCCGGGCAGCGCTCGATGGGACCGCCGACGGCTAGGATTAGCCGCCTCCGGGTAGGGGCCTGGATCCCTCTCCTTCCTGGACACACAGATCTGCCATTTGTTAGCTTAATGCCTTGGACCTGGCCCCTTCCAGATGTTCCCAGACATTCGGCAAAGCCTGGGAACGCGGCCGGGCAGCCAGGGCTGCGGTCATCCTTCCAGGAGGGGGACGGGGCCTTCGGCCCAGCCAAGGCGCTGCAGCTGGGAGGAGTCGCAGAAGCTGCAGCATTCCCGCCGTGTGCAGCAGGCCTCCTACCTGTTCAGAGAGGGTCCAGCGTGGCCGGGAGACACCTTCCGCGCTCTCGCCGCCCCTGGCTGACTGCGCACCTGCTACGTGCCAGGGCAGCTGAAGGTGCTGGGCACAGAGGGATCTGCGTCCGGCGCAGGTCCCAGTGCTTTTGAGCATGGAGCTTTCTCCAGTTGTGGGGTTAGCCTCACGGAACCAGGGGTCCCCTCCCCCTGGCCAGGGGGATTTGCAGCCTTTGCCATCCCGTAGCAGACGGGGGAGGCCGGCAACACGGCCCCGGGGCCTGTCCTGAAGGAGGCAGTTCTGATGGAGACTGAGCTGGGTCCCGGCTGCCACTTGCCCCAGCACAGCTGTCCTGCAGGCTTCCCACCCGCTCAGTACACTGGGTCAGAATCTGGGGGCAGTCCCATCAGCCTGCAGCCTGCCTGGGCCCTGGGAAGCCCCGTGCCGGGGACCCAGACCCTTCCCCTGTCTGGCACCAGCAGGTGCTAATATGGAAAGTGCCCAGATTCTGTGCATCCGCTCGGCCAGGGGGAAGGTGAGGGCCTTCTGGGACAGTCAGGGGGTGGGGAGGTCCTGCCCAGGTGGTTCTGATTAACAGATCAGGAGGCATGGGCCCCGGAGATGACTTCATCCTGGACCCTTCCCAGAGGAGGAGGTGGGGGAGCGTCAGGGCCACACGCTGGCTCAGACTCCAGCTGCCACCTGTGGGCAGTGTGCCCCGGAGCGCAGCGTGAGCCCCTCTGAGCCTCCGTGTCCTCGCGCGCACAGCGGGGCTATGAGAGCCCCCGCCTGGTGAGACAGTGAGGGCGCAACAGGG